TGTTGCTTATTAATATTCAGTTGAACTTTCTGTGGAAAGCTCTACCATTTTCCTTAAAAGTTCCCTGAATAGAGTATTGATAGACTCATTTCTAGGTATCTTACACTACTTATTGATCTGTGTATGGTAAAATTTTGCTATATACTTCTCACTCTAATTTATTGCTGTGATACAGAAATTCTACTGATTATTTTTTGTGTTGACAGCCTATTAAAAATGTGATGAATTTTGGTATTATGCTTATTTATATGTAAGTTTTCTAGTTTGTAATAATATCATTAGCAAATTATGACATTTTTGCTTTTATCATTTCAATATGCAAAAATAGAAATACTTTGTGTATATTAGGTAGCATATTCAAAAAGGAACAATTTTAAAACACCAGGTTACAAATACAATTAATGGTTGTTTTATCAGCTTTTTCCTTGTTGTGACCAAAAGACCTGACAAGACAATTTTAGAGGAGGAAACATATATTTGGGGCTCAGTTTCTGATATCTCAGTTCACAATCAGCCAGTTTTATTGCTCTGGGTCCAAAGCATGGCAGAACATCATGACAGAAGAGTATGATAGAGGAAAGTGGCTCAGGACATGGATACCAGGAAGCTGAGAGAGAGAGAGAAAGGGGGGGGGAGGGCACATGCACTCATTCCACCACAGACAATATATAAATCCCCAGGCATCCTCTGAATGACCCCCCTCCTCCAGCCACACACTACCTTTCTACAATCACCACCCAGGTAATCCCTATCAGGAGATTAACACACTTAATTAGGTGAGGGCTCACATCACTCAACCATTTCACTTCTAAACTCCCTTGCATTGTCCCACATATGAGATTTTGGAGTGACCTCATATCTTACAATAACAGAGTGGGTGTTCCATTCCTGACTCAGATGCTTTTGGTCCTGTGACATTGAAGGAATTATCTGCATTTGTTCTCTCCTTTTCACAGTGAGTAGCAGAGAGGTCCCTGGAATAAGACTTCCCTTCTTTCTTCAAGTTTCTAAGCTTTGGTGACTCTTTAGCAAGGTGGGAATTTATAGTGCACTACCTATGATTTCTTTTTTAAAAAACTATTGCTCATCTCAAATCTGTTAGGAAAGCTATTAACTAAACATCAAAAGACAAGTAGTGCTGTTAAAGATGTGAAGAAAAGGAAATCATTAGATATGGTTTGTAGTAATGTAAATTGATGTAGTAATTATGGGAAATGTTGTGGAAGTTCACATAAAATTAAAAGGAGAACTTCTAGTAGGTGTGAGGTAGTGGAAACAGGCAGTCTGAGTAGGAAAATGGCGAGGGTCAATAAGAGAGCAGATATCAGGACCACTGTTTGAGTAATGCTCCATCATTTGATGTGTTCCAGCATGACAAACAGCATCTATTTTCCAAAAGGAACAAAAGACTCCATTTTTACAAAAGAGACAACTTTGCTATTCAGCCTGAGCATACATATACAACAATTAAAATCTCAAGGACAGGTTACAGGGAGTCAGTCAACTTCCCCTCATGTGCCTTTATAAGAGGGGCTATGGAGATATGCTGGTGGCACATTTGCCCTTCCCATACTGAGTTGGGAACTTACATTTCTGAACCTTAACCTTCTCTTTAATAAATGTCTGCTTGGTTGCTTATCTTGGCATTTGAGGTGTTCTTTCTTCGACTCCGTGGAACATGGACCCAATTTCTTCCAATAGCAGTGGCAATCCCATTTATGAGTATATAAACAAAGGAAATAAAAACACTCTCTCAAGGGATGGCTGCACTCCCAGGTCCTTTGCAGAATTCTTTCCAACAGACAAGACATGGAAACCATTTAAATGTCTGCAATGGATGAATGGAGAAAAGCAATGTGATTGATGAAACACACACACACACACACACACATACACACACACACTCATGCACAGAGGAATCTCCAGAAAGTTATTCAATATTTAAAAAGAACAATATTTTTCCATTTGCAAACAACACAAATTAGCCTGAAAGACATTAGGCTACATGAAATAAACCAAAGAAAGAAAGATTAAAACACTACATGATTCCCTTATGTATAAATCTGAAAAGCTAAACCCATAGAACCAAGATGTAGAGAGAGGTTGTGTCACAAGGTCCCACACTTAGCATGTGGAACTTCTTTGTGAGTCCTGTTCTGCACTTACCACCCTCTACATGGCCACCCCAAGCAGCCTGATATCTGTGTCCACCATAGTGGTTTCCTCTGACACTGTAGCTGGAGGACAACAGTTTGGGACAGGTGTTGTTTCCCTCATTCAACCCCATGTTTTTCTTTTACTGGAAACCACGAGGGTCTTGCTGAGAATCCACTAAACCCTTGCTAGTACATTGTACTAGGAAGTGTAGTGGAGGAAAGGAAAAAAAAAGGTTCCTAAAAAGACTGTGTGGCTGCAGATTACATGCAGATTTTATTAAGTAATTAATAACAGTGATAATAACAATTGAAATAGTTGTGAATGCTGACAACAAAATACAAAATCTGTTTCCATAACACAATTGGTGGCAATAGATTTTTATCCCCCAAAGGAATATTTTATTGTAGATGGAAATCTGAAAAATAAAAAAGTAGAAAGCAAAAACACTGACATTTTCTTACCACCCCATTGCTCATTACCTATACTGCATGTCTTCCTACAAATTATTTCACTCTGAAAATATTGGTACAGCTGTCAATTTCACATTTGAGCTTGATGTGTACAGAAAGGGTAAATGTTAGTACCACAATATTCTTTATTAAAAAAATCCATTAGCTTTATATTTGACCACCGAGTCTCTGAACCAGCACAACCCAAAGCCTGTCTCTGGAGACACAAGAAACTGAACCTCGATTAGGATACTAAACCTAGTTCTCAGGTGCTACTCCAGAAGAGGAGCTCAGGAGCTGTATGTGCTTGTGAGAACCCAACTACACACCAATTCCTTTCAGAGATAAGCTCCTTCCTGACATGCCCACCACCTTCTCCTTGTGGCCATCTGCCTGAATACTTAAGAAGGTCCTGGGAGCAATTGGCATGACTAAACATGAATCTGCATTTCCCCTGGAATCAAGGTTAAGTCTGTCTCTGCAAGCATCATTGCACATGTTCCTTGGCCTGTGCTTCCCAACACACTGTCTTCTCCAATTCTAAGTTCTTGGTCATCTGGTCTTGCCTTAATGTCCCACCTATGCCCTGGTACAATTTAGGCCTCTTTTGGGGGTGATGCATACACACACACCACCACCACCACAACCACCACCAACTGATTATCTAAAATCATGTCATAACCTGTAATTTCTACTGCATGAGGTCCCTAGAGATCACCTAGTGAACCTGACCAGTTTTGAGGTTAAATAATTCTAACCCACATTTCTTGGAGATTTTGATGTATCTATGATATATTATTGTGTATATATTACACACTTTGTTTACAAGATTCTACTGACACATAAAACAACTCCCTGGTGTCCCTTTTTACAAAGGGGAAAAGGAGACAAAAATAACTTGCCCAAGACCAAACAGCTTTTTTTGCTATTTGAGAACACTGAAAATCTCCCTCAGGACCACTGAGTGACATGTTCACACACAGCACAGATAGAGTAGGCATTTTTGGCAGGGGCTGCTTTTCAGTGCTTGTTTTTGCCCCAAAGCAAGCAGAACGCCCATGGTCCCCTCATTGTAGATTGTTTTTAAGAATGACAAGGTAGTTCTTAGTAACACCTGGCTTTGTCACCCAAACTTTATTCCCACTGAGTGTTCAGTCTCTGACAATTTACTTAAAATTACAGCCTGATTTTGACATTTCTAAACTGAAGATATTGATTTTTTTTATCCCACTAGGCTATTTACAGAATCCAAAAGAGAAAAGACCATAAGCTGACAAAGGCACTGCCCAAGCCCCTGCACAATCAGGGGGCATGAGTATACAGGAGGTGTCCCACAAGTATTTCTCACCATTGCTGCTATTAGTCTAGGAATGTTCATAAAACATCAGAAATCTAACCACGTATCCTTCCTTCCTTCACCTTGTGGATAGATTTGTGTGTCTACCTCCTCTCTCTGGGGCCTCTTCTTCTCACTCTTATTTCTCTTTCAAATTAAATTCTTGTACCAGAAAATTGGCTCAGGCCCTAACCTGGCCTCAACCACCCACCAAATAGTGGCTCATGGAAGCAATGGACCACTCTGGACTCCTGTCCCACTGGTCAGGACGGGGATCCATGTTAGGTTGTCTTACTGTCTTGTGGACCTTACTGTTTCCAGGTAAGAATCCCACTTTCTTGCAGGGTGATGTCTGTAGGGGCTTCACGTATATATTCAACTCCAATCCTGAGACAAATGAAGATATGTTATTTCAACATATCAAGCACACATTCCATTAGGATCCACCACATGACTTTCCTTCAATAATTAATTGAGAGGTCAGATTCCGTCTCAGTGAAACTAGGATAGATCATGAGATAAACTGACTGACAATGGACCATACTTGAACCTGCAAAGTCCTCCTACATGTGACCTAGGCCCTCTGCTTTCAGAGCTCCTCCTGTGGTAGCTTCATGTCCCAGAACTTACCCACACCTCCCACACATCCATTTGTGTTTGAGTAGTGTCATGTGCAACCAACATCCCCAGATGCTTTTAATAAAGTAGATCCAAGGATTATCAGATTTGCAGTGGTCGTTGCCCAAAAGTTAACTTACAGTTGTAAGTGAAGGTCATTGTGGCCACAATCAAGAAGGTCCATCTCAGGACAAGATCATGGCACCAACAGCAACCAGAAAACTCTAAACTTCAGAGACGTGAAGTTCAAGAAGAGAGGTTGTGCTCAACCTGCTTCAGCTCTGAATTTTCCAGGTGCCTGGCTTCTCCTCCTCTGCAGAGGGCCTGCCCTCAGTGGCCATTGGTGGGAGGAGGCACTCTAGAGAAGTGGGCAGAAGCAGAGAGGAAGGGGCTCCTCCTAGCACCACCCCTTCTGGGTTCACAGCTGGGTTGTCTTCTCAGGCAGCTCCTCAGTTACTTCTCTGTTCCTCTAACTCAGTCAGGAGAATCAGCTCTAAGTCAGTGCTGGAGGGATCACTTTCATTTTAAGCAGGTTTTCAGTGCAGGGAGGCATTTCTTCTCCTCTTATCTGGTCCCCTTCCTTCTCAGCCCCAGGGAAGAAGGCATGCTGTGGGCTCTAGCCCTACTTCTAGCCATTCTGCCTCCTGGTAAGTATGTGGCACAGATGCCCATGGGATGTGGTTTTCCCCCAAAGTGGCCATAACAATGAATTCTGTTACTTTTGCTATTAATTTTTATTGTTGTTACCATTCCAGGCAGTCAAACATCTTCCAGTTTGGAAGGGAGAATGATGTCAGTAACAAGTTCACCTGGGTCATATGTGTCAATCTCTTGTGATTTTGCAAGTACCTACATCCACTGGTACCAATTCAAGGAAGGGGAGGCCCCACAACGCCTACTCTACTATGATTTTATAAATTCCAAGGTTGTACGTGACTCAGGAATCACTTGGATAAAATATAGTGCTTATAAAGGTGCAGATGGGAGATGTAAATTAACAGTAAGGAATGTGGAAGAAAGTGACTCTGCTGTGTATTACTGTGCCCACTGGATTAGCACAGTGATTCAGACCTTTATCTATATTCAAAATGTCTCAGTGTCTGCATGACATACAAAATTAGATCAGCCCCCATCCCATTTCCTGCCTCTAACTTCACTGTACTCTGAACAAAGGGAAACCATGTGCCTAAAGCTTACCTCCCACCCTATCTCTGCTGTGGGCTCTAGCCCTACTTCTAGTTATACTGCCTCCTGGTAATTATGTGTCATAGATGCTCATGGGATGTATTTCCCCCCATGGGCAAGCCATAGTAGAGAATTTACATCCTCCTAACTCATTTGTTTTTATTGTTGTTATCCCTGCAGGCAATCAAACATCTCCCAGTTTGGAAGGGAGTATGATATCAGTTACCAAGTCACCTGGGGTCATATGTGGAAATCATCTGTAAATTTCATGAAGCAAATAATCTATCCACTGGTACCAATTCAAGGAGGAGAATTCTCTACTATGAGTTTTTCTGTTTCAAGTTGGACTCAAGATTCAGCTCAAGGAAATAAGATGCTTATGCAGGCATAGATAGGAGATGTAAATTTATAATAAGAAATCTGGAAGAGTAACTCTGCTGTGTATTACTGGGCCTCCTTGAAGGCACAGTGGTGTCCACTGGCCTTATTTATACTCAAAATTGTGCTGTGTCTAGGTGGTATACCACCTAGACCAGCCCATAGACTGCCATGTCACTTCGTGCCTTGACTTCACTGAACTATGAACAAAGGGAAATTATGAGTCTCAACACTAACTTCCACCATATATGTATCCCACGCTCCCCTCAACAGCTGTACATTGCCCCCAACTCACCACCAAGACTAAAGTCCAGACTGCTCTCTCTCATCCTTGGCCAAGCATCCAGGGTGACAGCATCATTCTCTCAGCTCTGACAGGATCTGGTGAAGGCACATTCAGTGTGCTGTCTAGGAACACAATGTCACCTAGGGTTGATCAGTTACAGGTGATTTTTAGCAGAGCATTCTGGAAGGTTAGTTGTATGGTATCATTTATCTAACCATGATCTAGAGATAATATCTGGGTATGACTCTAATTCATTACTCAGGATTATGAGAAATGATAGAATGAAGTATTTGGGCTTCATGAAGACCTCATGCAGACAGTCATAATTATTTTTTGAACAAATCAGTATTTCCTTCACTATAACCAACTACGGTACTGATGATGAGTGAGGACATAGGAAAAGGTAATTGTTGTAAATATGCAAATTTTGTATCTACTTACACATGTCAGAAAACACAGCTTCAAGAAATTAAGTTTCAAAGATCTAGGTGGCTATTGTTAATAATTCAGAAACCAGGCAGCTTCAGTCTTCAACACAGACTGGAGCTCTGCTGGGTGCGACAAGTATTGGTGGTTGCATGACAGCCTAAGCAGGAACCAGGATGCAAGATGATGCAAGGAGCACACTGGTGACATCAGGTTTCTCTCTTGGTCTATGGGACTTCCTTACTATGCCTGCAACGGTTGACTAGGCCCCTGTGATTGGTTAATGTGAATCTCCTATTAGTCTGTATTTTTTGCTATTGTTCACAGTCTGGCTTGTTTGAGACATTGACTATTATTTCCTGATTTCTTGGAAGGTTCCACCTACAATTAAACAGCTTAGATTTAATGACAAGAATTCTTTGCACAGTGATTCCATTTTGTTTAATCTGTTGATCACCTAGTACACAAACATAAGCTCCATCTCTGTAACAGCCTACCATCAAATTTGTTTAACATACCTCCTGTTGCAATTGAGCCTACAGTTCATCTATTCATTTCTAAAAGAACAAAGCTAAATCTTCTACCCTCTTCACTTCTACCTTCTTTTATGAAAATAGCCACATCATTAACTGGAGTTTCCATCAAATTATCATTTTTCTCAATAATTATAACAATCTCTTTGATAAACAATATATAAAGAATAGTGTATATTTAAATCAAAAAGTCAAACATGAAAATGGTGACCGCTCCCCATTCAGCCATGTTTAGTGTTGTAAAATTAATCCAGATATGCGGAAAGTGGATAGCACTGGAGGGCTTGGCAGTGATTACCAAGGGAAACATATTGGTAGAAATTTTAATTTTCATGTTCTTTAATTTCATTTGTTAATGTTATAGAAAATTTCAATAGATTCTGCAAGGGTATATGGGCATTTTACCAAACAGTCTTGCTGAATTGTCTTATTAATTTTTATATTGCTTATTGATTCTTTAATTTTTCTGTTATACATTCATTTACCTACAAATAAAGCAGTTTTATGTATAATTTACATTCCTAAATTTATTAATTTTGCATTCTGGTAAAGACTTCTGGTCTGATATTTAATTAAAGTTAGTGACTAGCATCCTTGTTTTAGTTCAGATCCTGCAGGATTTCACACCCAAGTATTCATACAATGGACATTTCTTCCATGGATTTGCTTCCCTGGTTACTTATTCATATTTCAGTTTAATATTCTTAGCAAAGTTCCATCATTTTCCCTCAAGTATTCTGAATGTGATACTGCTGGACTCAGTCTTTTTTTTTAATACTATTTAACTGTTTTATACTATTTAACTGTTTGTGCATGGTAAAATTATGCTACATATTTCTCACTCGTAATTGATGTGATATAAGAATGCCACAGATTATTTTGTGCTGAAATTCTATTAAATACATGTGGGGAATTATGGAATTAAGCTTATGTATATGGAAATTTTCCAGTTTGTAATAGTATCATTAGCAAATCATGACATTTTTGCCTATTTTCATTTCAAGTGTTGATTTCCTCACTCATTAACAAATTGTTCAGGTTGAGATGCTCCAGATGATGTGAATGTCATGATCAAAAACATCTCTTTTTTATTCCTAATTTTAATGGAAATGCTTCCTATACTTCATTATGTTTCTTAGAAGTTTTGGAAGTTGACCACCTACATCAGAAGCAAATGGGATGCTTTTAATAAAAAAGTGCAGGTAGCACCCAACACAATGAGTTAAATCTAGGAATGGGAGCTGGGAATGTACACTTTTAAAAAACACCAACTGCTGGGATCATTAAAACTTACCTACAATCACTGCTGCCCAACTGGTAAGACAAGGAGGGACTGTCCCCAGCCTAACACACCCAGCTGTTCTACAAAGTTGCTCCTGGGCTCCCTCCTAACCCCCACAACCCTCTTCTGATCTCAGCCTTCTGTGCTGCCTTTGCCATCCCTGGCTGGTCATCCACAACCAGGTCAAACTTTCATTCCTTTTCTTCCTGTGACCTCAGAAAAAAATCATTATGTCCTCCACAGCTTGTGTTAACTTGCTGTGCTCTGACAAGGACCACATGGTAACCATTTCATACCTTAATAAAGCCTGTCCCTCACCTTGAAGCATAAACACATTTGCATCCTTCCAAGAGTGTGACGATTTTGCACATTGATTTCTTTCATCTTCCAGAAATTGAGTATTTGTGTATTGGAAAGGTGGGACTGTTATGTGGAGAGCCAATTTCTCCCCTAAATTCCTGTGTGATGCCTGCTACCCCACCATTTCTCAGCACCACCTTTGTGATGGTGACTGTGGCATTTGCTAATATAACCCTTGCTGCTTCTTTCCACTGCGCACATCTGCTTGTCCATTGGCCATCTTTGCTCAGGATGCAGCCAGAGGGACAGTCACTGTATATGAACATACTCAACTTGACAAGTGTGCTGAGTCCCTACTTTGTGTATTCCTTTGTTAGGAGCACAATGTTTTCATTTCTGAGGTTTTATAATCATTGTGACTTTTTGATAGGCTGTTCTGGCTTTTCAAGAAGCTCTTCAAATTATGTTTTTAATGAATAGACCTTCCAACACATGTCATACATACAAAAATAGAAATACTTTGTTTTTATTATAAAGCATGTACAAAAATAAACACTTGTAGAATACAAGGTTGCTAAAAAAAAGTAGTTAATGTATTTAGCTTTTTCTTTGCTGTGACCAAAAGACCAGAAAAGAATAATTTTAGAGGAGGAAAAATTTATTGAGGGACTCAGTTTCAGGCACCTCAATCCACTGACAGTAGGCTTCATTGCTGTGGTGCTAAAGTGTGGCAGAACATCATGGCAAAAGAGTGTGATGAAGAAATGTGGCTCAGGACATGGACACCAGGAAGCAGAGTGAGAGAGACGGAGAGTGAAGGAGAGACCAATTGAGCTCTCCTTCCACAGAGAAAATATAATCACCTGGGCATGTTCCCAATGATGGCCCTCCTCCGGCCATACACCACCTGTCCACCATCACCACCCAGTTAATACCTATCAGGTAATTAACACACTTATTAGGTTAAGACTTTCATAACCCAACCATTTCACTTCTAAACTCACTTGGATTGTCTCACACATGAGTGTTTGGGGGAGACCTCACATCTTACCATAAAAGAGTGGGTGTTCCAATCCTGCTTCAAATACTCCGGGTCCTGTGACATTGAAGAAGTCACCTGCATTTGTGTTCTCCTCTTCACAGTGAGTTGCAGAGAGGCCCCTGGAACAAGACCTCCCTTCTATCTACAAGTTTCTAGCCAGGTAGGAATCTATCATGTACTACTTATGATTTTCTTTTAAAAAAATGTTGCTTATCTCTCATATGTTAGGAAAGCTATTAACTAAAAATCAGAAGACCAATGATGCTGTTAAGGATGTCCAAAAAAGGAAATCACTGAGACATTGTTTGTAGTAATGTAAATTGATGAAGTAATTGTAAAAAATGTTACGAAAGTTCCTCATTAAGTTAAAAACAGAACTTCTTGTATGTGAGGTACTGGAAAAAGGCAGGAAGAGTAGGAAAATGGTGAGGGTTGATGAGGTAGCAGATTTCAGGACCACCTTTTGATGTGCTGTAGGACAATTTTAAAAAATCTGTTTCACAAAAGGGAAAAATACTTCATTTTTACAATAGAGACAGCTTCACCATTCTGCATGAGCACACACACATGACAAATAAAATCTCAATGACAGTTTCCAGGGAGTCAGTAAATGGGGTCC